CCGACCGCTGTCCAAGCCAGCCAGTTAAAGGGTTAACTATAACTGGATGCCTGAATGGCTGCCTTACTGATCCCACGGAGGTAACTGAAAAGACATGGTGCATCCCTCACCCCTGCCCATCCTGTCGCTGTCTACCCCGTCCAGCGAGCCTCTCAGCTCCCTGCAGTGTCCCCTCTTCCCTCCTGCCTTTCCCTTGCCTCTCCACCTCCTGTGGACCCGGTTTCTTTCCCTCTCTTTCTCCTGTGTCCTGTCTTGGAAGTCCTCACCTAGAGATCGGTGTTCCGTGAGAGACAAGCTCCTTGCTCGTGGCGCAGCATCTCTGTCCCCCATATGCTCTGATTCTCTGCTGCAGTCCCTTGATCTCAGACATCAGAGAGAAATCTGAGCAGCATTGCGGTAATGCATGTCACACCTCTTGCTGACAAATTCGTGAGCTTGCTAGAACGAACAGGGCAGGGAAGAGAAAGGTTGGGGGTAGGAGGTATCAGGAAAGGTATCAGAAAGATCCGATAGCGGACGCGGTGTCCGTTTGAACACGGCAGGTCCAGCGTGCTCAGCTAGGAACACGACACCTTGCACACCATATTTCTGCGCTGATGTTTTTGAGGTTTATGTAGCATAGCATCCCCAGACCGCCGGCCACAGGTCCATAGTTTTCAGCTGTGCAACAATTCCTGCGACTGAAGATCTCCAGGTTTTTGTGCTTCTTAAATGCTGCGAGCTGCCTGTGCTGCACCAGGGAGACACTCATTGCATTTAATTAACATTTAATTTGCTTTAAGATTACATTAAAATGTGCAATAATAGAAACTCGCTGAAGGGCGGGAGGAGAAGGGGGAAACAAGCGTGCTACAGATTGGCTCAGTCGCTGGTGCTCAAGTGTTCTGCAAGAATTGCATATGGAAGGGAAAAATACTGTACTTCCCTCAGCAGTCACAGAAAGTATTTGGCATCTGTTTGGCAGCAGGGCTCGGAGAAGGGCTTTCTCCAGCTCGGAAGTGGGTCTAGCAGCTGAGAAGTGGAGTCTGGGTCACTAAATCCTCCTCCCATGGTCCAGAGGAGAGAATGGCCTCGTTCGATGTCCGGGGAATCTAGTAGAAGAGATGCCCTTGGGCCAGAGAGGCAAATCACAGGCTCTGCCCTTCTAGAGACCATGTAAAACCATTAACCGGCACCTAGGTGTTTTTGCAAGGAGACGATGCCAGTCCCGTGTAACGCCTGCGTGTGTTACGTTTCCATCTCCCTTTGTGTTCCTCCCCGTCCCGGGGTTATGTAACGAAGGATGCTGCGGATGCGCCGGCTGTCCCAGGAAGGGGCTGGCGGAGGAGCAAAGGATCTGGGGCTGCTTTGAAATTTAGAGGAGAAAAAAGAAAAAAGCAATAAAGCTATTTTCTGCCTGGGTAAGCCTGTCAGGAAAGAGGCAGTTTTAGCCTGCTTATGTAACCCCGAGTCTAAAAAAGCTGCATGGGATCGATCCTGGCCGGGGTCTCATGGCTCTGCAGCGCAGGCTCACCGTGCAGGTGCCTTACTCCCTCTCTTCTTCCTCCAGCCCCCTCCTGCCCTCAAGCCCTGTTTTTTGTGCTGTTTCTGGTGCTGACGGGTCGTGGCGACTGATTTCTGGTATTGCTGCCCTTTGCTGTCCTCCCACACCTCACCAGAGCAGGTCTTTCCAAGAAACCATCCCAAAGCACAGCCTTTAAAAGCCTTTTTGCCAGTCGGAGCAGCTGAATGACTGCTGTGGGTGAGACTTCAGCTGCTCTGGTGCTGTGTCCGTCCTTAGCATCTGCTTGGCATCTTACCGGAGATGTTGCAGAGTCTCTCCCACAGATGAGGGAACCAAGGACACAGGTCTGATGAGGCACAGAGCCACTGAGGTTTTTTGGTTTTGTTTTCTTTTTTTTTTTTTTTTCCACTCTGGCTAGACTTATAATCATCATCTTCTTTGGTTTTCCCCTGCTCACACCCCTGCTCCCCCACATCGACCACAGGAACAGAGGGATGAGGACTCGCCTGGGCTGCCTGTCTCACAAATCAGACTCATATAATGATTTCACAGCTATTCTTCCGGACAAGCCCAACCGGGCTTTGAAGTGAGTATAGCTGCAGCATCCAACCCCATTCCTGTCCTTCCCCTCCCTGCCCACCACCCCCTCTAGTATTCTCTTCCTTTTATTGTACTTTGGATAATCTTTGACTAGTTCTTTTAGTCACAAGGAAGGAGGAAAACAAAACAGCGCTGATACAGCAGGAACAACCTCGGACAATACCTGGATCACCGATACGAGTTCTCCTGTGAGACAGGACATGCGCACGGTCCCCGCTGCTGTACGTGGGACATGTCTGCACGTACCTGAGGACATAATTTAACCCTCTGTCATCACAAATCAAAGTCTGAGCAGTTGGCTCAGTATAAGAGGTGACCAGCGACTTCAGGTCACCGTCCTCTTTGGCTAAGCCTTGCTATTAAACGCTACCAAAAAGTCCCGTGTTAGTTTGTACAACGCCTAAGGCAGGTGCTTCAGACAATCCCGAGTCCTGACTTGAGCTGAGTGGGATGGGATTCATCAGATCACAAGTCACTGCTTACATCTGAGCTAAGACTCTAACCTTCCCCTGAAAGTCAGGAAAGAGAAATAAACGCTTCTGCAGGGCTGGGTTTCTTTTTGCTTGACTTTTGGCTTTTACGATGTAAATGTCTACATCTGAACTTGTTCCCTGGGCCTCCGCTTAAAGTCAGTGAGGAAAAAAAATTGGTCTGTTTTTGGGTGTGATTCATTTGGCTTATTATACCCACCTCCCTGGGGACGTGAGATGAAGAGAGTCAAGTCCCTGCAAGTCCCTTGGTGTCTTCTCACTGATTCTAAAGGGAGCCTAGGGTGGTTTGCTCACCTGGAGACCTCTACATTGTAGACTTCCAAAGTTAGGTGAGAAGAATTCCAGCCTTCCTCGGTGTCCTTGTCAAACAGCCCCAGAGAGGATCAGCAGCCATGGGTTGTCTGTAACTTGCCTCTTCCTTTCTTTACAGAAGACTGTCAACAGAGGAAGCGACAAGATGGGCAGACTCTTTTGATGTCCTTTTGTCCCATAAATGTAAGCAGAGATCAAATTCTACCTTTTTTTTTAATTTTTCTTCCCCTCGTACCCTTAATACTGGTTGTAGCTAGGGCAACGAAGTATGCATTGCATAGCACAGGAATGGTCCCTTGGGTGGTTGCTTTCTGTGGGTTCCCTTCCTGGCTGGGTGATGGCAACTGATAAAAGTCATCAGTCCAAGGTCTGGCCTTCTCCAGCTCCTGGGGATGCACTGGAGACAGGACCCCGAGGCTGTAGCAGTGCAGACCGTCCTTTGGCACGTGCCCCTGGGTCCAGTCTTTCCCCATAAGCAAATGGCAGGTTCTCAGCTTGCTAAAGCCCCCTGAGACCCGTTGACATCGGCTTTTTTTTCCCCTCCCCCCCCCCCCCCTCTCTGCGG